AGAGTACAAGTCCTAAAACTGGGTCACAGGTCCACGTTGGATTTCGCAGTCCAATTCTAGATTAGTTTGGGGTCGCATTGTGGTGGACTATGATGACTCCTATATAGTTATTGGATGTCCAGTCATAATAACAACACATATTTTTCTGCGGTATTGGAAGCCCACTAGTGCCATAATTATGACTCCATTCCTTGCCTTGTTTTGGATAAATATATTGAACTTTCCGATTTCCTTTGTCTGGGGGAATCAATATATCACAAAGTATATGGGATATAAAGTCCGCATTTGAATAATTCAGGGTTGAAAGTTTTCTTGACAACATTATCAGAGAGAACGAGAGCTGAGGACAAAAAATACTTTACATACATACATACATACACACACACACACATTACTTATATTCACACACACACACAAATAAAATAAGAAAAAAGTAATTAACATACATATAAGACTCAAAAAGCAGATTCGTGTATGGAACGGGTTTTGTAAGGCTAGAGGCCACATCTCTCGTGAACTGTCTCTCGGGGAGATACCACATCTTGGTGGATGACACGGGGCACAACTCGAAACCTTTATGAATGAAACCGATTAAGCGAACAAACTTGCTCTCTCTCTCTCTCTCTCTCTCTCTCTCTCTCTCTCTCTCTCTCTCTCTCTCTCTCTCTCTCTCTCTCTTCCCCTTACTTCTCCCTACCTCTTATACTAATAAACACATCCCCTTTTTTCCTCTGCCATCACCTTTTACCTGAAATATTCTCTTTATGATCAACATTTGCACTTTCAACCATACTTTCACAGCAACATTGCAGTTCTTCTTTGTTCTTCTCCTCCACTATTTTAGTCGATAGATGAAGACTACTTTACCATCTATTAGTTTGTGTTTTTTTTTTCCTTCTTCTCCCCAAACCGCTATAAATCTGACGCGTCTCACCCACACGTTCCTGCCAGTCTGTTCCACTAAATCAATTTTTACCCTCTCTCTCTCTCTCTCCTTCTCTCTCTCTCTCCCTTTCTCTCTCTCTCTCTCTGCCTTTCTCTCTCTCTCTCTCAACCTTTCCCTCTCCATGGCTGTTTAGTACAGTCTAGGATGTCTGTCTGTCTGTTTGTCTGTCTGTCTCAACGCTGAACTCCTCTGTGCCCCCACCCCCCACCCCAGGCGCCCCAACTTTGTCAACACAGCAGAAGCATATCAGTGGGAGACGGATCAACCACAATTATGTGTGAATCGCTACAAAAATAACCCTGATTCATACAGTAGTGAGGTTTTGAATTTTGTTCACAGTGCAGCCGATCTTTGTTTGGAGGCGTGTGAGTGTGTGTGTGTGAGTGTGAGTGTGAGTGTGTGTGTGAGTGTGAGTGTGAGTGTGAGTGTGTGTGTGAGTGTGAGTGTGTGTGTGTGTTTCCTCGTCTTGGCTCCTATCTATGCTATCTCTCTTCTCATAACTTAACATCTCCTGTCATATTCCCTTCTATTTATCCCTTCCCTTTCATCTTTCACACATTATTTACTATCTTTTTCCTCTTATCTATAATTCCACGCCCTTCTCGTAAATGCTGCTTCTTCTAACACCAAATCTTAAACCTTCGCCTTGCCTCCTCTGGTCCATCTTTGGCATATTTCTAGCATGGCAATGTTTTTCTCTCGTTAATTCTCTCTCTCTCTCTCTCTGTCTCTGTCTCTGTCTCTCTCTCTCTCTCACCTCCACGCGTCTACACACACACACACATAAACATTCTACACTAGCATTCCTATGTCCTTTCACCTATTGCCATCACTCCTATAAAGCCTATGTTTCTTAAACTCCTCTTCCATCCACAATAACCTACAATGAAATATCACTCCTTCTCTCCAACCTGATAGCACACAACCCTTGCCTACAAATTTTCTAAGTCCTTATCAACCAGCTTCTCCAGCCATACCCAGTACACCTGCCTTCGTTCACATCATATATTTTTTCCTGCACCTGCTCTCTGTATCGGTCTCTCTCTATCTTTGTCTGTGTGTTTGTCTCTCGACTCTTCTTCTCTTTCTTCTCTCTCTTTCTTTCTTTCTATCTTCTCTTCTTCTCTCAGTCTCCCCTTCTCTTTCTTTCTTTATATTATTACAAGACATATCCTCTCTCTCACTCTCCTAAAATAAATAAATAAATAAATAAATAAAAATTCCTTCTTCTGTCATATTTGCTTCTTTCTTAACACACTTCACTAAACACACTCGGAAAAAATGGTCAAGTTAGGCCTTAGATAAGTGGGAATAAAGCATATAGTGAAAGGACAATGACCGAAGAAAACGTTAAATGAGAAGAAAAATACCACGGAACAAGAAAAGGAACACCAAGAGAAAGGATAACGTGAAGGAAGATTTCGTACACGGAATGGCTGTGACGAGACGCCCGTGGCAGTCCAGACGAGGGGAGGCGTGGCACAAAGGAAGGTTCTGGCAGTGAAGAAGGCCGTGCAGGGAAACGAGGGTCGCCGAGAGAGCCTCACTTCCACCGCTGGCACCTTCCGTCGCCCAAAGGTGCCATTAGTTTTCATTAGGCCACTCGGCGTCAACATAAACAGGATGCCCATGGCTCTGTCGAACACTGAAGTCATACTGAGTGGTGGCGTTTCAGTAGGAAGGCATTGCACTGCTTTCACTGAATGATGGCAATGGCCGTGTGCTCTAACCTTCACATTCTTTTGTCTGTCCTTCCACCCATGGATTTTTCCATAAAATATCTCTTGCAACTTTACACGGAGACACGTTCCAAAGAAACTACCCTCTCACGAACACGTTCTCTTCGCATTTATCACATTTCTTCTCGCACCGTACAAAGTTCACCTTTACACTCTATTATATATTTCACTAAGAGCAAGACAAAGCATGCAAACGCGGGAGTATGCCGATCCCTACCATCCCGCGTTAACACAACAACTTGTCTTTGGCGAAGTTTCCATGTCGAGCGCGCAAACAGTCTTCGCAAATGTACACCAATTTTCAAAAATCCTCTCGGGGCGTTACACCCTGTTCACTCCACCGCGCGATGACGTAACACATATGACGCGTCACGGGCAGCTCTGCCAGATGTACGCCGCGAAATCCAAGTTCGCGCCCTCTGGGAAGGTGGCGGTAATGGCACTTGGGACATGCACTATGGTGGGCTAAATAGATCCACTAGAATCAATACGATGCCGTGCTCGAGTAGCTTTGCAATCCGGACATATTTCAGGATATTAGTCCCGAATAAACCTTGTACAGCACGTGTGTCTGCGAGTGTGAGAGAGCGGGAGAGTTTGTACGTATGTGCGTGCGTGCGGATGAAAGTGAGAGCGAATCGAATAATAGCTGCTAGAGAAAGAGTGAGAGTCAGTGAAAACAAAATTAATGGAGAAATTGGCCGGTAAAATGCTTAGTCGTGCCTGATATATTGTTACTTCAGGGTATGGCTCGATTGGGTGACTAAGTGCGCGTTGCACCAGTCAAGGCATCTCCAACTAATATCCTTATCATGTGCCGCGTAAATGAAACGAAAAAAAAAAAAAAAAAAAAAAAAAAAAAAAAAAGAAACTCCGTGAAAAAACGGCAATGTTCATCATCCCGAACTAGAGCCAGCACTTCGTCAGACCACTCCTAATTAAAAAAGTAATAAATAAATAGCAAAATTAATCTACGGCACGCTAATAAAGTTTCCGGGCATGAAGCACAAAGTGTAGCGCTGTTGGTGGTGGTGGTGGTGTGACTGGAGGATGGCGGGCGAAGCGGGGTGGGGTCATGCACACTCCACGCAACCCATTTTCTGTGTGAAGTTCACCACAACCGGTCACTAAGCCCATTTTCTGTTGGTCGATATTCACCGCCCAGCTGAGCCCTGCACGCTGCCCATGTCCGACTAAAATATGTATCTTTCTTCATTCCATTTTCGTGACAGAATGGAATAAAACCATCAGAACCCCTTCTTTTTTTTCTTCCACGCTTAAATCATCCCAGGATAACGATTATTTGCGACCCGGAACATCAGTCAGGGAGCTTCATGCGGGATTTACAGACTTGCCACAGAGACGGCCGCCGGGAGAACGAACTCCCCAACCGGCAGGGGAAAGACACTGGGGGGGGGGGGGGGAAGGAGTAGATGGAACATAGGCTGGGGAGAAAATAAGACAAGACGGGGTACGGCGGGAAGGCAAAGGACGGGGAGGTAGGAAGGCGGGGAGACAAAGTCTGGCTCGCATGGCGGTAGGGGGTATTACACGGGTAGGGGAGTATGGGGAGTGCAGGCAACTGGTGGGAACTGGTAAGCACTAACATGGCAAACCGTAACATAAAAAAAATCGGTCATATGGCACAGCGAAGGGAATTGAGTGTTTTGAGCAATGTGTGAATGTTAAATAAAAAATAAAAAAAATAAAAAGTAAGTGAAACGGCTGTCGGTTAAAAATAACGTATTTCTTTTAGAGTGTATGTGCTAAGATTCAGACTATCAAACTGATATTCACACTAATAGAAACATGTAGGGGGGAGGGAGGGAGAGAGAGGAAGAGAGAGAGAGAGAGGGGGGGGGAGAGGGGGAGAGAGGGAGAGGAGAGAGAGAGAGAGAGAGAGAGAGAGAGAGAGAGAGAGAGAGAGAGAGAGAGAGAGAGAGAGAGAGAGAGAGAGAGAGAGAGAGAGAGTGAGTCACTGGAATTTAGTTAACACTTCATTTCGGGGGTGGGGGCACTTCGACTGGAGATTACAGGCACTGCAAAATACGGTAGTGTTGTATGTGCTCCTGCTAACTAATATAAGTTAGTGATGACTGGGGATAGGGACTAAGGATAGTGAAGGATGGAGAGAGGGTAGTCGCACTGTGGTGGGTTGGTATCGTGGAGTAGGTGGGGGCAGGTGGTGTCAGCAGGTGGAAATGGGAGAAAAAACGAAGAAGGTGCACCGCGGGTAATGAGGCACTATCATCTAAGCCTATCAGACTGAGCTAAGACGCCTATGTACACCAAAAATGAAAGAAGGGGCATCTTACCTGTACACATGTTCCTGACTGGCAAGTCACCACTATCACTTGTTTTACACTATTTGCACTTGAGCACTTGTTACACAGGGTTATGTACACATCACTATCACAAGGCAGGGCGGCGCCACTGTGCGGGCAACTTCGCACCACATGCGCCACCTGCTCAACTCTTCGTCTGACCATTGCACTCGCAGTCGGAAAAAACTATGTCGGGTGTCGGTGGAGCGGGTCGGGTCGCGCCGCACGGGTCGGTGGTAGCGGTCGCAGCGCCGCCGCTCCGCTGTTACCGCGGCGCCCACTAGCAGCGGTCCTGCGTGGCAAGGCGGCGCAGCCCGGCGGCGCCACTACCTCCACCACCACCACTGTCCTGCACATCCCCGCCTCGCCCGCCGGGTCCACCCAGACGCCCACTACGCTCCAAACCGTCCCCACAGCTCCCGACGTCCTAGGCTCCGCTGCTAGCCGCCGCTAGCCGCCGCCGGCCGACGCCGCCACCGTCGCAGCCGCCGCCGCCGCCGCCGCTGAGCTCGGACCGGCCGGTGTCAGAGATGCGTACACAGGTGTTGCTATCGAGACATTTGTACGTTGTCCTGTCGCTACCACGCCGTGCCTCCAGCACCGCCTTCATCCCCGCTGCACAAAACTTGAGAGCACAACTAACACTGCTGCGCTCCAATCTTCCGCCGCCACTGCCCGTACTGAAGCAGCCAGCGCTGCCGACCGACCGACCGACCGACCGCAGGAGTGGTGTGTCGGCGGCGGCGGCGTTGCAGCCCGCCAGACAGGGAGAGGCGGTTGGGGCCGGGCGTGGCAGATACAGATAGACACAACGTACATCAGTCTAGAGATCTAAACTTCAAGCTGTTATATCATAAAAACGGGAAACACAGCACGGCCGGGCACTCAGCTCGTGCACCTTCACACCACATCGTACGTACGTACACGGCACGACCCTTTGATTCGCCACTCCACATTTTCCGATACGTCGGTCACACATGCCTCAAGAGACTTCTTCCACAAGCTTATACGGCAAAAATGGAGCCACCAATTCACACACTATGGCAGGTGGGTGTGGGCGTGCGTGGGCGTGAGATACAGCACTAGTGTGGGCGTGCAGGTGTGGGAGGTAGAGCGCAACGTGTGGCTCACAAGACAGACGCGGCGGAACTGAAGCGGGCGGGGGACGCGGCGCTGCATCTGGCCGCGCTCCTCCCCTGGGGGGCGGGACTAGTGGTATGGGTGGAGCCTGGTGGCCTCCCGCGCGCTGGGCTCCACCTCTCAGCTGCCGACTCCGCCTCTCGCCCGCCCGGCTCCGCCTCAGAGTACACTAACTCCGCCCCTACAACTGGCCATCACATCACGTGACGTCTCTACACACTCGGCTCGTAATTAAAATAGTCTGGGGCCAATGGTACGTCGGCCGCGTGTCCTGCTGGGTGGGGGTGGGGGGCTGGGCGCCCCGCCCCCCTTATCCAGACTGTGGCTGCAGCGGAGGCGGGGTGTGGCGGGTTGGGGGACCTGCCGCCATGCGTCCCTTTCTCCTCTCCCTCCACGCTACTAACCAACACCCCGTCCTGAGTAGGGATGGGATAGGGGGAGGGGGGCAATTCGGGGGCTGCGTATTAGAGGGAACGAGACTTGGGGGGCGGGGATCCCCGGAAAACCCCCGTTTGTGTCACTGTGACCTACAACCTGATTGTGCGAGCCCTCGGGGGCATCACGGATGACACTACTGACGGCTGTTTGTGACGACTGCGCAGTGCCCTGCAACCGCCCGCCCCGCCACCTGCCAACCCGACCACTGCCTAAAAACTCGCACAATTATTCACTCTTTAAAATGGAGTACACTGCCGCTACTGACTGAGTCTCGCCCGTCTGCCCCCTCCTCCCCCCTTCGCTTACTATACCTATTCTCCTATTTTCTTCTCTCTCGGTTTGGATTTCTTCCTTCCTGGCCCAGCCTCCCTCTCTCATTTCCCCGGATGAGGACGAGGACATACAGCACAATGCCAGGGAAAGCCGCAGACGTCATGCCGTGAGTAAGTGTGATGGCACAGGCAGCTGGCGCTCTGTTCGGTGCTCTGCAGAGACCCTTCAGTGAGTGCTTTTAGAACTCTTAGCACCTTTGCTGATTCTCCCGTGCTTCCCAGTGCCCGTCTTTGGTCTCTTCCTGACCCACAGTGCTTTCTGTTCACTCGAGTGCATTGCAACAGCCCAATGTGTTGTGCTCTAACAGTCTTTAAAACAATGCCACTGCACACTCCGTGGTAAATAACGGTGTTCTGTTTCCATCACTTTTAGTTAAATCTGAAATTTAACAACTGCCCTATCACTCTGTAAACCGTGAAGTAATGGTCAGTTCTAACAGATGGTATATATAATGCACGGTGTTCTGAACTAGCATGGCGTACGTGTTGTTCGTAATGCGACAGCTTATGATAAGGAGAGGCTGCTAATCAGGGCCTGGCCGTTAATGATCGATTCTGCTTGGCTAATGATCGCGCTCTGGCGACTGCAGGCGGATGTGAACCGACCGTCCGCGATGGTCGGCCCCGTGCGTGCTTCGTCGGATTAAACTCCAACCGTTTAATGTTGACGGTATTGTTACATGTGACTGGATACAATAGCATCCATTAAGCACAAGACTTTTGGTCTAGAAAAGCGCCATCACTAATGACCGTGTTGTTCAGTGGCAAGCAGCGCTCCTATCGATGCGCGGACGGGCGACTGGCGAAACCTCCGACGGTTTCGTCTCGTCATGCAGAAACTGAGACTCACTGGGTGTCTGCACAAGCCAGGCCTCTTTGCGTTAGTTGTGTAACATATACAGCAGAAACGATCGCAATTTTCGAATTTGAGGTGCAGAACTACCGAAGCGATTCTCACTCACTCCCTCCCTCCTCCCGGCCGGCCGCCCTCCCTCCCGTTCGCTCGCCCTTCTTCGTTCACTCCCTCCTTTCCTCTCTTCTTTTCTGTCTATCTCTTTGTTTCTCTGGTGTATTTCTATTTTCACAAAAAGCTTGGCCGCTCCATTCGAGAAGCCAGCAAGCGATAGGTGACGCCGGCGGCGGGAAGCGGCGGATCGTGCGGCGAGCGGCAGCGGACGATAGCGAGCAAGCAGGCCGCGCCGCAGACGACAGCGGGCCGGCGCCGCTAACCTCAAGCACGACGACCTTCCGCTAGCGCGTCTTGCGGCCACGCTCAGTCTCGCCACTCCACGCCATTACACACTCGCTGTACAACGCTTATACACTTCTGGTTAACACCACTTTCCAACGGTCGCTAACAGCCACCTTTTACTTACTTACAAGTATAAAAAGATGACGTAACGCCGTGACGTCATTACTTTGGTGAGGAACTCCAGGCTTGGTTGCGGCCACCTTGCGAACCAGAATGAAAGTTTAGTCTACTTGCACGAAAGCCCCTATCCGATGCACACGAAGGCTCACTTAAAGTTCAGCAACGGGTCCTAGCACTGCACAAGTTCCTCCTGCCATTGTGTGTCGCGGCCAGATACTGTAAGCGGGTAAACGCAATTTAAAAATTGTCTCGTGGCATCCTGCATACACGCTGCAAAGGTGACGAGGGCGGGGGAGACGAGGGGGGACACAAGAATTAAAGGCAACTGAGAGGGCCAAGGGAGGGGGGGCCATGGGGCGACAAGGGTGCGGGGGCGGGCGGTGACGATTCCTGGGGGGGAGGTGGGAGGGATCTAGAGAGGGAGAACGTACGGGCCTCTGGGGGATGTTGGGCGGGACCCGGTGGGATGGGGCGGGGAAGGCGATGGTACCGGGGTGGGAGGAGGAGTAGGAGGAGGAGCAGGAGGAGGAAGAGAGAAAGGGAGGAGGAGAAGGAGGGGGTAGTAGGAGGATTTACTAGCAGTTGGGGGGTCGCGAGTAAGACGACTCGGAGGGGGCACCGGGGCCAGGAAGAGGCGACGGCAGATAGGAAGGATGTGCAGCCGAGGGGACGCGGCATTGGTTTAGCTTTGGAGGAGAGCGCGGCATGTGGAGCGTCACCCACGCCGTGTGGACGGAGGGTGGAACTGTGCTTGCCTCGGACAGAGATACGGAGGCTGCACACGAGCTAAGCGTGATAGAAGAGTCAATGTGTATGTGGGAGGTAACACGATAAGTAACGCTGCAGTTGCCTTAAAGGAGAAAGCCCACGTGACAAAGAAAAGTACAAAAAGAACCAGCCATTCCGAGGAAAGAAACCTTCACGGTTCAGTTGCAGTTTTTCATCTCGGAGTTGCATCCTTCCAGACACCGCTTCGCCGCAGATAGACAGCCATAAACAGGCCGGGAAAGAGTGAGAATTACGTGCCGTGGAACATTCTCGCACCGTGACTGTGATCCTGCTCGCTCCCCAAGTGACTTTGGTTGTTACTCATGTCGGAACTCGTGTTTTGGCAGAGCTTTTTCGGAGCAGCAGCTCGCTTGGGGTCGTACGGCTGCGAGTGTGGCCACGTTCGATTTCCCTTCGAACCCTCCTGAAATATGTCCAGCCGGCCGTCTTGCAGGACACAGACGCAGGAGGAAAAACTGAAGGGAGAAGTGACAGAACAGCTGGAGGTTGCGTTGGAGGTAGACATAAATGCGGCGGAGAGAGAATTCCACCAGTTTCGGAGGAGGATCAAGGGAGAGCCTGGTCCGAAGGAGTGGGAGTGGAAGTGGGGCAGCAAAGGGGAAACAGAAATTGGAGAGGACGCGGGGAAAGCTGAAAAAATGCAGAACGCAAGAGGCAGGGGAAGAGATGAAAGGGAACAGAACAAAAAAAAAAAAAAGATAAAGAGAAAGAGAGACACAAGTAACGACATAAGAATGTAAAATAGAACATGACCATAGACAAGCAGAAGCAAAACCCCATCGTCTACCTAATGCAATGGAAACAACCAGCGACAATAAAAATGTTGCAAGGCACATGGATTAAGAATTAAAGACAAGAATGACAGTCACTGGAAGAGGGGGGGGATTGGAAAATGGAACAGTCGAGTGGAAAGGGGGGAGAAGGGGGGAGAGCAAGAAGGGGCGACAGTGTAAGTGATCGACATGAGAATCAATCATTGACACAGCAGAGAATAGTACACCATATCCAAACAAGGAGTAATGGCTACCGTGAACAAGGGGCAATGGGCAGAGGTAGAAATCCGGGAAAAGACAGACGATGGTGTGAGGGAAGCAGGAAGGGGGGGAGGGGGGGTGAAGGTAGGACAGAGAATGGGGTGGGAGGCAGGCGGACAGCTCCACCCAGATAGACAAACAGATAGACAGATAGATAGATACAGACGCAGATAGGTGGATGCATACACACAGAGGCTGATAAACCGTTAAATACATAGGCAGACAAAGATAGACAGACAGACACAGACAAGACAGAAAAAATATTGATATAGGGAGAGAAAAGTAGAGAGCCTGCATACAGCTAGATAAAGTTTAACAGGTGAGAGGCCACCAGTCCAGTATTTAACAGGTGAGGGAGGGACAGCGCGCGGAAAGGGTAGCCCAAAGAAAGAATAGCCAGGGGACAGCGGACGAGGGGGGGAGGGGGCAAGGAGTGGCAAAGGGTCCGGTCCCCAGTAACCATGGGGGCCGGCCGAGGGTCGACTTGCAGAGCGTACACGTCCCAGAAGCCTTTGTTACAAGCTGCGCTATGTGAGGAATTGTTTACATCATTCTGTAGGCAGTACACATGGGGAAGACGGGGTGAGGACAGGAAAGAAAGGATAAAAAATAAGATTGATAAATATTACGAGAGAGAGAGAGAGAGAGAGAGAGAGAGAGAGAGAGAGAGAGAGAGAGAGAGAGAGAGAGAGAGAGAGAGAGAGAGAGAGAGAGAGAGAGGTGGAGGGCGAGCTATACCAAAGGCCACCAGAGAGAACACTGCTTTAGAACAGGGCCCACACTCACGGTAAAGTACACCTGTCAGTCCATAATACTGCTCCCCGTTTATGTGCTTTTGCCAACCCTCCCCCCTCCCCTCCTTTCCTAACCCCCCCACCCTTCGCCACCCTTTGGCAACCCATACCTTTACCCAACTCCCACCATTTCCCCATGCCCCCCCCCCAGGCACTTTACCGTCTCTTCTGGTGCTCAAGAGGGCAGTTACGGCTTCACGCGCTTACCTGCAAAGAAAGGAAATTACTTTTAACCAAACAGTCTATACAGAAAGGACTTATGAAACAATCATATACACATGACGATAAAAATGTATTAACAACAATGCCTAGAA